GACGACTCCCACCTCTACTTTTCTCCCGACCAGGGAAACGTGGTGTTTGCCAGCGCCATCGACGGCTGGGGCTTCAGGTGAGGCGGCGTCTAATCACGGAGGGGGCAAAGCTTAGTTTGCAGGCTGCAGGACTCAGAACATGAACGGAAAGACTCCGGTGCTGCGGCTCAGCCGCTTCGTGAGGCCGTGATATTCATGCTGGTGTAAATTAACTGACCGGAGTCACTTTTAGGCTTCGGTGCTGTTGGAGATACAGATTATTCTGTGCAGAGAGACATGAGCCTTTAATGCAGATGTGCAAATATATGCGTAATATACAGCAGTACGGGGAGAGTCTTCATTAAAACCCTCACGCAGAATAAAGGTGCACGCTAACCAGAAGGACAGGTGTGTGCGGTCAGGTTTGTGTCAGTCTAAACAGAAGCACCAGTTTAGTTTAATAAGGCGAGTTGTGTGTGCACGTTTGCACCCTGTGGGCTGGGTGCAGTTCAGGAAGATCATCCAGCAGATGGCGCCATTCTTAAATGTAACATGAACACAGACCCAGCTGAGTGTTTGCCTTTCAAAGTAAAATACATGACCTCGCATGAATTTCAATATAAAATATTTTTACTTGTTCCTGTAAACGATCACATAAGCTCCGCTCAGCTGATCAGCCTGGGGTTAAAGTTCACATCTGTGTCACTGTTAGCCTTTTAAAAAAAACAAAAGAAGCTTCTGGATGTTCATGGAGGCTGATTCTGTTTTCCAGCATCCGGCAGTTTGCTCAGATCTACAGCGAGAGGATGGGCATCAAGAAGGAGGTGCTGCTGAAAACCCTGTGGGGAGATTTCTACCTCAACATGAAAGCCAAGAGGATCATGAAAGGAGCTCAGGTGACACAGCTGGGAGGTTGATGTGGCGTCAGAATCACGTCTGCAGTCAGAGCGTTTCTACAGAGCAGCTCGGTGTTTGAGAGCGTGGTGAAGGTGACACGTTTCTGCACATGGACAGAAAAATGTCAGACCAGCAAGCACACTGCAGGAGTACAGGCGGCTACGCTTTGCCTCCAACTCAGGAAACGGCATTCAGGTCATAAAATCATTGGAGAGCCAATAAAAGGCGAGAACAGTCAAAGCCGTCAGGTTTTATTTTAAGACCTTAAAGTCGTTAAGTTGCCGGTATCAGCTGGTCTCTGAGTCACAATTGATGAGACGAGCAGAATAAAGCAGTTTAACATCAGCTGATGATGTTCTCCACATCACTGCACCACGAGTTTAATTCATGTAAAACCTGAAACTGTTTCTGTGCAGCTCCTGCAGCAGGCTCACCTGTCAGACGTGCACCTGAAAGGGAGACAGACAGATGCAGTTAAAGGTGTGATGTCATGTAAAGGTTTCCAATATAAAAATGAAAAGCTGAAGCCGGCGGTGTCACTGTGTCCATGAGGTCGTTTACATCTGTCATTTTACACTGAGGCATCAACATTAAGCCAGCTGTTTTATTCCTGAGACGAACGAGACAAAAAGCTTCAGGCAGGTTTAAGCTCAGCTTAACAGACGCGTTTGTCCTCAGACACATCAGGATCAGTGTGAATGCTAAACTACATCCATGGCCTTCAGACTTAAAAGCTTCAATGTTTTATTTGGTGCGTCTCACTTTTGAACACGGTGAAGTTTAAACTGCAGCAATTCAGACAAATAACCTGCATTCAGGCCAAGTGGGCACACAGCAGCATTAAAAGGAGTTTAACCCCAACTCCACCTAACCAGAGAACCCTGTGGCTGAGCGACACCCAGCAGCCTTTCTCACAGAGGCGGTCCGAGTACTCACCGAGCACGCCGCAGTCGAGACCGACGGTCACGAAGTCGCACTTTAAAAAGATTTGAGTCCAAAATGCAGCAGGATGACGGCGGCGGCTCAGCCTGAGGAGGCAGCTTAAATAACCAAGACTCAACCTGCCCAGGTGAACAGCATCAGGGTGATAGGCTCCGCCCACCTCTGCCCACAGCTAGCTTGCAGTGAAAACGACTCACTGATGGTGTAATTAGCTTTGGTGTTTTTATTCTTAGCGCCACCATCAGGTCACACTTCAGTCTCGTGCACATGCAAAGAAATAATCACTTAAACTGTATTTATATTATTTTATTATCTTATAAAGGAGTTTACGCAGGAAAATGTTCGGTCAGACGAACATGATGATGATGCAGCGACGAAGGCAGAAATTTATGAATTGAGTGAAACATTAAAAGATCAGAGCAGCTGGTTTTTGTGCTGTTGGAGCATTTTAATGGCATCATGTGACCAATAACATGGCTGCTGTGAGGTCACTGCACTAACAGGCCGTCCAAGGAGGCGGAGCTGTGAGAGTGAAATTCAAGGATGTTGTTTGGATGTCACCGAGCACTGACAGCAGCTCGTCTGCGTCTGAGGTCCTGAACGAGGCATTGGTGGGGAACTTCCTGGTATCTGGCGACAGCCACAGAGGTCCAATCACAAAAGTCGGTGTTGGTGTTTTGCATTTGTCCATCTTTTATATACAGTGTGTGTTAATAACCAGCCGTAGCTCTTCTGCTCCTGCACGGCGAGAGGCTGAAGTCCCGACTGACCCGGCGTGTTTGTTGGATCGGACCGGTACCGGCCACGTTTCCCAGCAGATGCTCGCCCCCCCCTCGGGCCCTGAATGATGAATGTTTTGGTGTTTCTGTCTGGCCAGCGCTGCAGCCGTCAGGTGTCAGTGTCTGCAAAACAGCAGCGATGGAGGGGCGGACCTCTTATTCATGCTCGCTCATCATTCACAGGCACGCCGGCGCGTGAATGACACGGCGAGGCTTTTTAGCAGCACGCTCACAGGATGGGATGAGCTGTGTGGGTTGACCTTCTGAATCGTAGCTGGATGCAGGCGCTGCGTCTGCAGAAAAACGTCCTCTGTCCTTCACTCTCAGCATTTGGTTATTTGTTCTCAGGTGGGCGAACACGCGTCGTCTCCTGGGTGTTTTCCCTCTTTTCATGGATACATCACCTCATGTTTTAGTGTTGTGTGTGTTTCCAGCTCGTACAGCTTTCGTGTGCTCACCTGTTGATGTTCCTGGTAAAAGCTGGATTTCAGCAGAAGTAGATGAAGTGCTGCATCAGCTTCTCTGATGTTACTTTGTTCATTCGACAATTCTACAATGAAAAGAGCACAAACATGTGACCTGAATAACGACATGAAGTCAGTGAATTTATTTAGTTTAAAGGTGGAGTCGTGCAGCGTTTATGGTGAACGCAGTCAAAGTGGACGTGGGACTGCTCTGCAGGTCCCTGCATTCTTTCTAGTGTCCAGCAGGGGGCGACGTCTCTCTGATTACAGTAAACACTTTACAGTTTATGGCCTCGTTTGCTAGTTTTAAGTCTTGTTGAATAAAACAATGATGCTCATTTTTGAAACGATGCTCACAGAGAGTAAACAATAAATCAGGTCGTGGTCCTGAGTCGTTCTCCAGGCTTCAGGAACCCGTTTGCTGATGTGTGCAGCACGCCACGTTGGCCTTTTAGATTCCTGCACCTCAGACGGTCCACACTCAGGGCTGAGGTGTTCCTGTATTAATGATCCATTTCATAGGGAAGGTTTCAAAGCTGCCCCAGACATCAGTGCAGAAATCACGTAGTGGGTAGGAAGCACGATGGCCAGCAAGAGGGAAGCTGAAACAGGGGGAGGAGCAAACACGAGGAGGTGACGCGATGACCTCACAAACACGTCAGGGAGGTGAACGGCAAAAGAGCAAAAACAGAAAACCTTCAAAATAAAGCAGGAAGTAAAGACACACAAGAATAAACTCACAATGAAAAAGTCTGATTTGGCAAAACGAGCAAACGTTCTGGATGCTTCTGGTTCCAGGAGGTCTCTGCTCCTCTGGTTTGTTTCTCGTAGGAAAACCGATTCCTTGCATTGATCAGATTTTCTCCTCCATGTGCGACGTCCTGCAGGCCAAAGGAAAGAAGCCGCTGTTCGTGCAGCTGGTGCTGGACAACATTTGGAGCTTATATGATGCAGTCGTCATCAGGAGGTTGGTTAACTTTTATTATTTCAGTAAAATGAGTTTTTCTAAGAAACATGAGGAGGCAGCGACGTTCTCAGCTGTCAGGACGTTTCCACACAGAAGCTGTGATGTTCTCAGGACAGGTGGGAACGCGTTCCCGACGCCGCGGCCGTAACGGAAGAACTTTTTCTTTATTTAAATCCGCAGAGACAAGGAGAAGGTGGAGAAGGTGGTGACATCACTCGGGGTGAAGGTGATGGCCAGAGACTCGCGTCACTCCGACCCCAAAGTCCTCCTGTCTGCCATCTGCAGCCAGTGGTTACCTGTTTCCCAGGCCGTCCTTTGTATCCTTTGTCCCGTGAGGTGAGCGCGTCCCTCGGCAGGACGTCAGCACGACGTCTTTGTCCCGCCTGTCCTCGGTGATCTTTAACGCTCGCCGCAGCCATGGTGTGCGAGAAGCTCCCCAGCCCGTTAGAGATGGCGGCCGAGAGGGTGGAGAAGCTGATGAGCGTGGGAGCACGCCGCTTTGACTCGCTGCCCGAGCAGACGCAACACCTGAAAACAGGTACACACACACACACACACACACACACACACACACACACACACACACACACACACACACACAGTATTTGTTTGGGATTTCTAACCAATGACAGGAGCTCTTTTACGAGCTTGCTTCTGCACGTCCAATCATCTGTGCAGATGCAGCGTGTCTCCTCCTCTGGCTCTGTAGCTCTGAGCGAATCAGGACTGCTGACACCATATCAGCTGTTTTACTGGCCCCGCCCTTCAGAAATGCACAGATATGGGAAACAGATCCTGCATCAGCTGATTTGATTGACCTGACTTTATTTAAGGCTGCTTTATGGTCGGCGTTAGACGCTTCAGACTAATCGGACATTGGGCGGAGCCTCGTCATGCAGTCTGTGATCACAACTCCTTAATAATCACCATTAAATGCTTAAAATCAGTGATTTTAAAGAGTTATTGTTGAACCCACTGATAGCAGCTGTTTGCAGCGACTGTGTGGTGGATCAGTGGCGTTAACGTCTCGCCGTAACGTCGGGGGTGTGGTCTGCTTGGATTTCAGCGTCGTGCTGTTGTTGAAGCAGCTGTGTGTTTGACTCTTTTCCTTCATTCCTGGTGTTTCCCAGCATTCCTGCAGTGTTCGAGTGAGGAAAACGCTCCCGTCATCGTCTTCGTGTCCAAGATGTTTGCCGTGGACGCCAAGGCCCTTCCTCAGCACAGACAGAGGTAGCTGTGTGTGTGTGTTCATGCACGGGTGTGTTACTGAAAGTAAAACATTATTTAGTCAAAGCTCTCACCAAAAAGCTTTATGTGTCATCATCATCAGAAGAATTTCAGCCTGTCGCCTTTTAGCTTCCTCCACTTTACTTGGTGCTGAGCTCGAATGCTGCAGTCTCATTATTGC